ACCCTTCTTCTCCAAGGCTGTTCACTATGCACACATCTTTGAAAAGATTGTTCAGAATAGCTTGGCTGGTGTGGCTCAGTGGATTGAGTGCCAGCCTGTGAACCAAGGAGTTGCCAGTTCGATTCCCAGTCAGGGCACAAGCCTGGGTTGCCTGCCAGGTCTCCAGGAGGAGGCATGAAAGAGGCAACCACACATTGATGTTTCTCTCCCTCTCTTTCTCTTTTCTTCCCCTCTCTCTAAAAACAAATAAATAAAATCTTTTTTTTTTTAAGTTTTTAAAAAAAGAAAAGAGTTCAGAACAAAGGCAGTTACGGTCTCTGCTTCAATATGTACAGTAACATAAGAGAAATATGGAGAATTGTTTCCCAGCAGTCTTTAACTAGTGCTTTATTTTAAAAGAGTTCTAGTGCAATGTAAAAACTTTAAAAAAGAAAGAAAAATTAACTATAAAATACTAGGAGGAAAAAAATAAAAAGACATTAATTTAAAAATTAATAAGTATCATATAATAATAAAAGATAAAAATAATTATCTATGAGATATATAATAATAATAATTAATAATAATAATTCAGGAAAACCACTTTGGAAAACTCTTTGGCAGTATCTACCGAAGCTATTTTCATCATGTATGATTCAGTAATCCCATTCTGAAGTATCTGTGTGTGTGTGAACAGATAGACAGAATTTTTTTAATCCTTAGTGAGGACATGCTTATTAATTTTAGAGAGAAAAGAAGGGAGAGAGAGCGAAACCTCAATCAGTTGCCTCCCACATGCACCCCAACCAGCGATGGAACCCATAAGCTAGCTCTGTGCCCTGTCGGGGAATTGGCCTGGCAACCTCTTGGTGTCTGGGACGACACTCCCACCAACTCTGCCACCCGGCCAGGGCTATAGCTCCCGCTTTGATGGGGCCATTGCAAGGCAGCTCCGACGTCGACACCGAGCCCAGGCCCCTGCCATCCTGGGGCTCCTGGGGCCCGGTGCCCTTCACACACTCAGCCACAGTTTCCATCCTGCTCCTGCTTTGTCCTTCAGTTTCCACAACCACACCGAGCCTTGAGTGCATCCCCTCATTTTTCCTTCCATAACAAGTGAGCACATATCCCTCCCTTGGGGGCACCCTGCCCCACCCTGTCCCCGCACATCAGACTGAGATTCCAGGCCCTTCTAAAATCCCACTCCCTCCTCAGTGCGTTCTGGGCCTGGCCACTGGCCACCGGAGGCAGAAGTCCGATTTCCGCCAGTCTTTATCAGGTGGCACTCCCTCAGCACAGGCCAGAGGACCTGCGACGCCTGGCGTCCTGTTGGGGACCAGCCCAGGGCCAGGAGGTATTGCTTTCTGTTGTTTTCCTGAAGGACAGCGAGAGGCTGATTGCTTTAGCAGCACTGGGTGGGCAGGGCGCCCAAGTGGTACAGAGAGTTTAAGCAGAGCCCTCCAGAGGGAGTCTGCCCAACGCACGGTCCAAAGGCCCTACCTAAGTCAGAGAGCAAGGAACGTGGGCTTTGGGGTCAGATGGAGCTGGGGGTGCACCCTGCTGTTAGCGAACTCCTTTGCGCCCATATTTCCTCACGAAATAGAAAAATAGACAAAAATAACTTCTAACTCCAGAGTTATTGTGAGAATTGAATGAATGAAGTCATGTCCATAAAGCACCTTCACATGCGATATCCGGCCCATAAACGATGCTCCATAAACATATCTATCAGGCCAGTTATACCTAGGGATGTTTTGGGTGACAAAAAAGCACTGCCAGAATGAGACAAGTCTTCGGGAATCCCGAAATGGCGAAGATCCAGAGGAGAGAGGATGTGCGCTGGCCATTGGCCGAGGCTTAGCGCCAGGGGGAAGATGGTGGCCTCAGGTACGAGGTCAGGGCTCTAGCTCTGGGCCTGGTTGCCCTGAGGTCAAACCTCGCCAGGAGCTTTCATTAGCTTGGTGACCTTGAGCTGGTTATATTAACATACCTATTCGGTGCATCATTATCCTCGTTCATGGGACGGGGTCGTGGTCTCCCTCTGCTGTACTTGCTGTGATGAGTAAATGAGACAGTATCCTTGTAACCAGTTCACTGGTGACCTGGCCGCCGAGCGCAGGGACGATGCAGCTGAATTCGTTGTGTGCGGTGCCCTGCCCAGCCCACCCCACCCTGCTGCATTTCCTCCCCACCCCTGGACCAAATCCCCTAGACCAAGTGCCCTGCAGGCACTTCCGTGTATCAACAAAGACATTTTCAGAAATGAAAAAGCCCGGAGTTCTTTTAAATCAGTATATCGTGCTTTTGATAAGGAGTGTCTCCCCGCACCCCGGCTGGGGCCTGGCTCGGGCTCGCTACCCCACAGGGAACAGAGGTGGCTTCCTCCCCCTGCCCCCTGCCCGCTTGCTCTTCTCTCCTCCCACAGCACCCAGCCTGTGGGGCCAGGGAAGGAAGGAGAGGGGAGGAGGTAAGGACCTTCCTTGGCTGGCCCAGTTGGAATCCAGTCTTCCGTAGGAGAGGTAGCAACCCCCGGCTTCTCTTCGTGGGCTGTTCCAGGGGGACCCTTGGAGACCCCAAGCGTTCACTGGGCAGACCTTTTGAGCCAAGTCTCAGAATCACCAGGCTGGCTGCCTCCCCCTCTCCCTGCGATGACAGCAAGCACAGAGCCACCTCCACTCCCTCGCTAGGCTTTTCTCCTGGCTTTGCGTTGGGGACTCCTCCAGCCGGCATCTGTCCTTTCGGTAGGCAGAGGCCCACCATTGGCGTTGTGTGATTATTTCTGTTTGGGCGTTGTAGAGTGTTTAGGAAAACCTTGTCTTCTATCCTCTGCTTGCCAGTAGCACCCTCCCTGCGGTTGTTATAAAATGTCCCCAGACATTGCCACATATCCCCTAGGGGGCAGAATTGGCCTTGCTTGAAAACCACTGCATTAGACTATCCTGGGCAAGAGTTAATAAAGAATTTCAGGGCTTTCTAAACTCCAGGAGAGACTTCAGGCTCCACAAACATTTGGTTTAAAGAGGCGCTAATGTCCCTTCTTCTAAGTACTCACTAAGTTTGTCAGGCCTCCCTGCTCCCTATTCCACAGCCTGGAGAAGGGGGACCAGGAGCCAAGAGCGGACAGGAAACCCTGGCTTGGGCCACGCCCTGCCATCATGCACAAATGGTCTTTTCTTTCTAGAATGTAGGGCATTTGTCACTTTTGGGACTCAACATTTATTGCAACAGAGGACACATTCTATTTGGGCACATTGCAGGGACAGGAAAAGGGCCATGTTGAATACTAGGTTACAGGGACACCACAATTTAAAACAAACGTACATGAGGAAAATGTACTTAGTAAGAAAATGTTCTAAGCGTACACAGCTTACTTGATGAAATGATGTTTTGAGGCTGAGTCCAAAGGCCTCCACTTCATAACACACTTGAATGTGACTGAAAGCCCTTTGAGGCTCCCCTGGGCCTCCCCCAGGATGAAAGTGGGGGCGGGGGGCAGGAAGCAAGAGCTGGCGGACAGAAAGAAAGGAAGACTGGAAAACAGGGGCAGTCATGGATTCTAATTCCTTCTTATTCTACATCAATCCCCAGGAATGTTTTCTAAATAGATGGCTAGGTTCTATCTCAAAATAAGAAATTCAACTTTATGGGAAAAGAAAAAGAAGATGTCATTTAATAACACTTTATTGTCAATAGCATAAAAGAAATTTAATATTGATCCTTTGGAGGAAGAAGACAGTTGAACCTATTTACAAGGAACACCAGAGAAGAGGTGAGGAAAGATTGTCACAAAATTCTCAGTAAATTAGTGCTCAGTGAATTGACGTGTGAATTCATAAGATAGGGAACTTATCAGATCAACTGGAAAAAAAACTATTAATGCAAGTTACTGACCATCTATAGTAACTAACCCCACAAACATGAAAAGAAGTATGTGTCAAAGTAGTGTGAACACTTCAATAGGTTTGGTTATATTTTCTAAAGGTGTACGTTCCATTCCCTTCCCCCCATCACATTAGACAAAGAGACAAGGTCCTTCAACAGTCATAAAATACTTTTATTGACTACCATGAGAGTCCCTGCTTTTTAAGGCCTTGGTTGTCAAACATCCAAAGCCTTGTTGAGTCAGAAGCCCCACCCAGAGGTCTGTCCCCACCCACATGACCAGGCGGCCATTCTATCAAAAGCAAAAATGAATGTTTAATTAGATCTGAACTCCCCTTCAGAGGGGCAGGCAGCATGTCAGCTACAATAGGTCTGCAATTCCTTATCCAGCATTTCAAAATATCAAAAGGCTCTGAAAACGAAGTGTGTTCACAAGCTGGTGGCACACGCATTTGTCAGCAAAACCTGACTCTCGTGGGCTGCTTGGAGTCTTTATGCATTTTGTGTCAATATTCTACATTTTATGGCAGAAATGGCAAGGTGTTGACTTACAGGTAAGGGCATCATTTCAGACTCTTTCAATGGACTTCCATAATATACAGTGTGTGCAATATAGTATCTTTCTAAAAGCCAAAAAAAAAAAAAAAAAAAATCCGGGCTTGAAGAAAACATTTGTCCCACATTTGTGGACCTACAGTAGCCTGAACATGTGCCCAAGTTTGAAACCAGAAAAGTTTGGTAGATCCCCTGAACCACAGTTCCTTTAATCTCTCAGGGAGGTAAATACATCTGGAACATGCTGTGTCCCAATAAAAGAAGGCACAGCTCTGGGAATAAAGCCGATCCTCCTTATAGGAATTTTCTTTGTGAGAGACTGTATTTCAGCCCATAACCCTTGATAGTGTGACGAATAATAAATACCTATTTCCTTTCCACTGAAAACATTATCGCTGCTGGGGGGTAAGAGGGTCTAAAGGAGCAGATTGGAGAAAGGAGCCTATCAGTGTGAGGGCCACGAGTGACAAGGACCAGGGTGTCCCTCATGCCTCAATATTAACCATTTATCCTGTTTAGAAAGTGATCCTCTGGATACAGTGTTTACAGAAAAGTCAGGTGGGACTTAAGCTGGGGTCTGCCACTTAAGGAGAACAGAACTTGCCAAAGAAAATGATGTTTCGCGTTTTGTTGTGCCTGATGATGTAAATAAATGGATGGTCAGCATTGAACTCATCTTTGTGCTGCAGGATCCGCGACCCCGGCACCTCGATGGAATCCCCGCCCTCCTCGGTTATCTCTAAGCACACTTTGTGAATGACCTTGGACAGTGCTGCTCCCTTGGTCTCTGACATTCCAGAGAAATCAGAGGTGTCCTCATTAAAGATATTTTTCAGCCCTAGGTTTTCCAGACTAGCCTTGGGATCGATCGTCTTTTCCACCTTAAATTTGGGAAGGGAGAGTTTGACTTTGGTGTTGGCCATGGTGCTGGGATTGGTCCACTGCAAGAGCGTCTCTGAGGTGAGCTGTTTTTCAACCTAAAGGACAAAGGGGAGGAGAAAATATTATTTTTTTTATTTTCAGTGGTGAAAGACCCTGTTTGATGAAAAACGTAAGTGTCGCTGTGGGCCCCGTTTTGAAACAGCACATATGGACCATCAAAGATGGCATCAGCCCTGCCGTTTGGGTGCACGACTGCTTCTCCCGTACGAGGCCTACTGCCCAGCACAGGTCTGCACCCCGTCCTAAGCTACGGCCCCTTTGCACGGGGATTCACAAGGGCAGTTCTTTTAAGCCATAGAGTAGCTTTGTAGGAACAAATGCAGGATTACGGCATTGCGTACGTAATAGTGACCTAAATGTAAAATTAGAAGGGTTTGCATACATAATATTTCTTGAATGCTCATTTTGATTTCACTACTAGGAAATCCAGAATACTCATGTACTAGGCATGATGTCACATTTAATAACTCAAACTGAAGCCAAGATAAGCTCTTTTAGAATGAGAATTTGAACTATGATCATCCTTTAAGATAATAGCTAACAAATGCATCTCTTTCAGTTGGTTATTTTTTTTTAAATAATAAGTAAAAAGATAAATATATGAGGTGATGGGTGTGTTCATAAACTGGATGGGAAGAAACTTTTTATAATTGATACATTTATCAAATCATCCTGCTGTACACTTTAAATATCTTACAATTTTATTTAGTTATAGATCAACAAATCTGAAAAAGAATAGGTTATGTTCTTAACCTGCATAAATGCTGAGTATTCATCTGTCATGAGAAGGAGCCTCTAAATCTGGGCTCCAATTCAGAGGCCACCATAGGGCTAGGATGCACCTGAACATGACCAGCGAGGACTGAAAAATGCTCTGTGTGGCCAATACACAACAGATTTCGAGGCAAAGGATGTCACTACATCTCATTAATACTTTTTATAGTCATTGCCTGTTGAAATGATAGTATTTTGGAAGTGTCGGGTTAAACAAAACATTTTATGAAAAAAATCTTAAATGAGGCATGAAACAGTTTCATCATAAAATGCTTCCCTGAGCACATCTTAAATTGCTCCTTTCATTTTGCACTTCAGTATGAAAAAATAATGATATAAGGATATTTTAAGTGAGGCAAGTCTGAGGCAGCTGAACAACAACTGATAGAGAAAATGAGACAAAAGCATGAAGTGGAGTAAAAAAGAGAGGCCAGTGAGTAAAAGAAGAATGGGGACGGGCTTCGAATCCGGGGAACCAGGCAGTGGAGCAGGCAAAATGCTAACTGAAGTCACGGCTGTGACCGAGTTACATCGACCCTAGAAAGTCAGGGAGTTGCTGAGGCGTGAGAGGAACTACAGCAGGGGACCCCTGGGCCCCTCAGGTCTCCCTCCTTGTCCCTGGCCGGGCTGAGAGCCTGGCTGAAGGTGGGTGGCAGGGCGGCGGTGCAGGGGTGCCGCGGGTGAGGCTGCCAGAGGTGAGGGCAAGCTACGCCATTCACAAGCGGGTAAAACCTCCACCGCGTGCGAATCTGGGGCCTCCGATAGCCTGTATGAAATGTGACGCATAATAAACCTCATCTATGCGGGTATGCATGAAAAGAGCTTCTCAGAACTCACAGAATGCACGACACACAGAGCGAACCCTGATGTAAACTGTTGACCTCAGTGGATGATCATGGGTCGACGCTAGCTCATCAATTGTTTAACAAATGCACTGTGTTGATACAAGATGCTAATGATAAGCAACTCTAGTCTAGAGTTAAGAACACGGGTTCCAACTTCCTGGGCTCAAACTCCGACGCTACGAACCACCGGCGAGTTGCGTGACCGTGGATCCGCTGCCCGCCCCCCTGCGCCTCCCTGCCCTCGTCGGCGAACGCCTACAGTGACAGTGGCCCATTGGGAGAATTCAATGAGAAAGCGCACATAGGGAATGTACAGTTCTGTGCACATTGTAAGTGCCAAATAAACGCAGCCATTTTGAACATTAAGGAGGAAAGCCCAGGAAGGACCTCAAACCCCTGGAGACAACAGGGCCGCGGCCCCGTTCACCGGCCCGGCCCGCACAGTGCCTTCCACGGGCTCTGCCACAGCAGGGGGCCCCTTGGCACGGCCTGCCGCCTCCCCCTCACCTTCTCCAGGCCCGTGGACTCATCCTCCAGGTCCTTGGGCAGCAGGATGAGCATGCTGAGGTGCTTGTTTTGGAAGGGGAGCTCTAGGATCTTGCAGTTGATGCTGTCGATGTTGCCCATGCAGAACATGGCTTCCAGGTTCATCATCTGCACTGGTTTGGTGTCCGTCTGCAACAACAGAAGACATCTGGGCCGTTTGATTTTCACTTCCCACAAGCGTACATACAGATATGTGTTTTATTTTCCACCATAGAAGACAATGACTTATGCTTTTATACATACACATATATACACACGTGTCCATATACACATATACACAGACATCTATGCACATACCTACTAATTTGTTCTTGTTATAATTGCATGAAACACCTCAAAAATGTGTTCCCTCCCTTTGTAAGAGGAGGAAATTAGCCTAATTTGGCCTTTTTATTTTGGGGTTAGCGATACATAAATGTGTGTGTATGTGTGTGTATCCACCTTTGTCAGAACGGGCACTACACTAAACTTTTAATACTATCGCTTCACGGATCTAGTCTAGCCCTCAACGGAGACACCACAGGACCTGAGGAAAATTTTCCTCACAAAAAATGCAGGGGCTGACAAAAGCAACTGGAAGGAGACAGAGAGAAAGCAATGGCCCCTGCCTTCAAAAAGGGGGCGTGTCCCCACGCAGCGTCCAGTCGTGTTTTACTGCCTCGTGAAGTGAAACGCAGTGAGATCAATAACATTTCAAAGCCAGGTTTAAAACCCAAGGACTTTACGTGAAAAGCCCAGTACAGTCTAAGAACGGAACGCCCTGTGCCCAGCGTCTGGGACGCACCTGTGTGGGGGTCAGTCTGCCCCCCCCAGGCACCTGTGAGAAGGCCACTGTGCTCTGGGGAGGTCAGCTGGGGACAGGAAGTGGGTGGAAGGTCCCCAGGAGGAGCGGATATTTTGAAGAGGTCAGCAGCCCTCGTGGCAGTGACCGTCCTTGCCCAGCGGATCTTCTATAAGGACCCACGGTGGCCCAAAAGGCCAGTCGGGTTTGTCTGCTGTTGACTGTATATCCAAACTGACCCTTAGGGACGGGTCACTGACTCACCTAACAGTTGCTGAGCACCTACTAATGGACCAGGATCTGCGCCAGGAATTGCAGAAACCGAGGCGAAGAAGGCATTCTATTCTCCCTGCCGCTACAAAGCCCATGCAACGTGAGAGATCTCAGTAAGTAAATGAACGATTGGATTTCACTGTGGAACGTGCACTTGAGGCAGGGGCGGGGAGGAGGGGATGAAAATAAAATACTGCGTGTACAAAGAAAAAGCACCAAAAGCCGGACCTGCTACAGGTATAAGTTGTGTATGGACGGTCTTTTCTTCCTGAGTCCTAGCGTTAAGGACGTGCAGTTGTAATATTTGGCAAAAAACAAATGTGATTGATGCTAGTTACTCAAAGTGCTGGAAGAAACTTGAGAACTGGAATGGATGCATAGGAGCTACAAGGTAAATGTGTAACCTTCAGGTTTGTGCTGAAGGCTGGATTTCAGCCTGCATTCTTAGCCCAAGTCAGATCCCATCACGTGAGATCAAAGTACGTGATCGTCACATAGATTCCTGGGGTTGTCTGGGTCCTCTACTGAAATGGGTCAATTCAGTAGAGGATTGACCCATTTGGCTTCCTTTATAGAAGAGGTACTTTACCTCATGCCATGAATCCTTTTTCACAGAGGGGAGGGCCTCGTTTTTCCCTCAGGAGTATTAGGAGACTTCCCTGCAAAACAGGTTTCTCATTCTTCCCCACAACAACGCCCAGAGCAGCAGGCACGTAAGCTGGACCTTTTCCTCCACAGCTGACAAGTACCTCAAAGCACCTTATAAATTAAAATGTCAGAACCACTGACTTCCCTACGAATAGAGGAGATTCTCAAGTGGCCCAGGTTTCAGGTTGATTTAAAGGCTTCTGAGGTTAGAATTTGGTTTCTTTGCCTTTCCTTCTAATGGTCCCAAATATCTGTAGCCACTTTCCAGTCGGCGATTTCATTTTACCCACTGGGCTATAGGCTCTAATAGGTTCTCATTCAACTCAGACTCTTAGAATATTCTGGAGCAGAGTGAGAATCTCCAGATTATGGTTCCTTTCCTACCAGAGAAGGCACGCCACCCTGATCCTTAAATTCCCTCTCTTGAGTGAACTCCTACGGTCCTTCCTGTTGCGACAATTTTTCAGATCTACAGCCGGGACCCCGGGACTCACGGCCCCCTTACCTTGTTGACTCGGAAAGGACATTCTTTGGTTTCTGATTCAGGGAACTTCTTCATCCACTTTCCAACAAAGTAGGCAGCATTGACCACAAGGATTTTGGTCTGATCATTTACGTTGTTGTTGGATAAAATGTTCTCGAAGCGGCCTGCAAACAATTTTAGGAAGCCACAAATTGCACAGAGTTATTCTTCCCAGGCACACATGCTGTTCACGTGCCTGTCTACTCGCGGGGTACTTAACGCTCACCCGAACCACACCTGGCAGGGGCTGAGAGCCAGACCACCTCATTTCAGAAGGACTCCTTTCCCTCCTTCTGTCCCCACAACTGGACTTACCAAAGCCTCCTCAGGAGGAGCAGGAACAGGGAAAGGAGGGAAAAGAAATGAAGAGGAGGGAGAAGAAAAACACAAGCTACCACCACGTGCTAGACATTCAGGGGCACGCTATCACACGTTCTTCCCCTTTTTGCAGATGAGGAAGCAGGGACCTGGCCTACAGTCACCCGCCCGAGATGACACACGCGCGAAGGGGGAGTCAGGGCTGGAGGCCTGTGCTCTGGACTGAAAACGCAGGAGCGTCCCGTTCACACCCGGCCCGGGCTCGCGTTTTCACAGGCATCAGCCCCCGTCCCTCACAGCGATCCTGTAAGGCAGAGGCCGTGGTCCCCACGTCACGGACAAGGAGCCTGAGGCTCAGAGAGGCCACGGTGCTTTCTGGTTCACTCAGCTGGAAAGCAGGTCTGAGCCCGGACGGATGCTCCTCTTCACCCCACAGCTGCGCCCCCGCCCCAAGCTGCCCTGCAGCGGGCAGGGCGGCCGGTCTGTGCCAAGGGCGGCCGGTTTGTGTCGGGGTCAGCTGGCTGGAGCATAGCCGTAGTTACTCCAGACCTCAAATCCCCAACAGCAGAACAGCTCAGTGGCGATGGTCCCCTAACGAGATTAAGTCCCCCTGTTTGAATGGCACTGACGGATTCTGCAAAGGATTTTCATTGACCTAATCTCCTGGATTTTCATACCACGGCTTGGGGCCGGCCTCCCGGCCTGCAGCCAGTGTGTGAGGGACCCTCCACGGACTTAATGCTGTGCTGTCACCATCTTAAAATTCGTACATTTTTAAATAAAGGGCCCTACATTTTCATTTTGCACCAGGACCTGCAAACTATGTCACCACAGCTGCTAATGCTGTGAGATGTGTCAAGTATGTAACAGTGTTCCTGGGAAACCCGAGGACCAGAGGAGAGGGGCTGCTGGGACCTGGCAGGGCTCCAACTGAAGCCTCGCGCTACTGACTCCAAACTCAGAGGCCCCCAGGCAACACTGTACATGGGTGAAGATTTTCGAACAAAGGCCCATAGGTGAAAAATATAATTATTTAAAAATTTTAAAAGCAGGCCTGGCTGATGTGGCTCAGTTGGTTGGAGCATCGTCCTGTGACCAAAAGGTTTACAGGTTCAATTCCCAGCCAGGGCACATACCTAGGTGGTGGGTTTGATCCCCGCTCAGGGAGCATGCGAGAGGCAACCAATCGATGCTTCAGTCTCGCATCGATGTGTCTCTCTCTCCTTTCCTCTCTCTCTAAAAGCAATGAAAAAATGTCCTCAGATGAGGATTAAAAAATAAAAAATTCTCACCCCAGCTGATGTGGCTCAGTGGATTGAGCGCCAGCCTGTGAACCAAAGGTTTGCCAGTTTGATCCCCAGTCTGGGTTGCAGGCCCGGTCCCCAGTAAGGGGTGCATGAGAAGCAACCACACATTGATGTTTCTCTCCCTTTCTTTCTCCCTTCCTTCCCCTCTCTCTAAAAATAAATAAGCCAAATCTACAAATCAATAAAAATAATAAAAAATTCTATATGCAGAACTGTTACATAGCAATTTAAACAGGAGCTGCTTTTTGCTTATAATTGTGTCTACCCTGATGTTAAACCATTTTTTTCTTCACATAGGAAGGCACAGGAACTTCATGTCAACAACAAATATATATGTATGCATACATTTGTGTGTTTGCATACATATCTGTGACTACCACGGACTCTCTCGGCTACCATACTATCTAAGTTAATCCTCACAATAACCATGTAAAAACTAAACTAGATAACATAGGCCCCATTTTACAGTTCAGTACACTGAGGCTCCAAATACTCCAGCTAATAGGGGGCAGTGTCTGGGTCTGAATCTGAGGCCTTGCCGATGCCATGGCCATATTTTTTCCACGCCCTCGCCCTGTAGTGAGGCGCCGACACTGTCGCTCCAGAGTCCTCACAGGGATGGAAGGCTCCGGCCATTCAGACAGGAAGTGCATGTCCCTCGCCCTGGAAGTATGTCCCTCACTAGACTGCGATGGCGCCCGAAATATGCATCCCTCCCTTTCATGCCTTCACAATTAGGCGCTGCATCCCAGCAGGTCCCTTGTGATGTAGGTATAAACATGTTCCTGGGAACAGGGGGACATGGACCCTGACCTGTACTCAAAAGCCATCTTATTTCCAAGTCCTTTCTAGCAAGGAAGACCCGAGGGGAACGTGCAGGGAGGGAGGCTCCAGGAGAGGAGAGGCCCGAGGGAAGCGCAGGGCCGGAGGCCGGGCCGAGTGGACGCTGCAGAAGAGACCAGAGGCTGCCGGGGGGCAGACGGCAGGAGGGGTGGGACTGGGGACACACTTCCGCCCGCTCTGATTTGTTTTATTTTTCATATATATATATAAGCGATTGCCTAAGACTCTCTATCCCTTTTTTCCTTAATAAACTTGGAGAATATTGGAGCTGAAAGTGGCCTCAGGCCTTTCATTTCCAGACTGAAAAACTGGACTTGTGACCCGCCCAAAACCATGCTCTGTTAGAGGCACAGCAAGGGGCAGCTCGTCCGAGAGCAAGGCAGGTAGGCTAAGTAAAATGGAAGCCCCGGGAATTTCTGCCAAGCGGAAAGGTGGTGGCGGAAAGGCCCAGAAACCCAAGGGCTGGAATGGCTGCATGGGCAACAATGCGGCTTCTGAACTGAAAACATCTCAGGAATCCGCCAGGTGTTCAATGTTTTGCTGAGCAGAAAGGTTCAGGAGAAGGCAGATTGTGATTTACAGCAGAATAAATAAAGATACTTGCCATCCGTGAGATCCTTAATTGAGTCGTTGATCTGACCTTTCGTTTCTTCCAATTTATCTTTGAAGTCAACAGTTTCCATTTCCTTTGCGTAGGGTCTCTTCGTGGAGCTGATGAACTCCTGAAAAGCAGCCAGTTCATAAAATCACAAAGCACTTAGCAGCCTGTAGTCGAACTCTCACGTTGTTACATGGCTCTAACAAAAGGGCTTTTATGTGCCTCTTACTACGAATACACTTTCAAAATCTGAACTGTTAGGTAAACTGAAACCTCAGCTAGGAATGAATGAATCTTCTTTGTATTGGGTGTTTCATTTTTTTTTAATTCCAAAACAACGCCTATCATTAAATGCATTCATCAATTTAGTATCAGCTTTGGGGAAGAAGAAGCACCATGCTAAATGTACGTAACAGTTAATATATGATTTCAGGAACATCAAAACGTGTGTACATGGATGTGTCTTAGAATGGAAGAAATGTGCAGAAAAGAGAACCCTAGGAGCAGAAAACTCTATTCTCACTGAAACAAACAAGCTATAGACTCTCGCTACTCAAAGTGTGGTCCAAGAACCAAAAGCCTCAACGTCATCACCTGGTACCTTATTGGAAGTGCAGAGCCTCAGGGCCCCCCAGACCTGCTGAACTTAAATGCGCCTTTTATCAAGATGCCAGGGTGATTCACCTGCACCTTAAGTGTGAAACAGTGCAGAGAACTTAGCTATGAGTCTAATTCTAACGCTTGTTAAAATGCAAAACCCTAAATCCCATCCTTATTCATTTTGATTCAAGTGATCTGAGGCCAGGAACTTGCCCTTTTAACACCCAGGTAGTTCTGCTGCAGGTGGCCCTTCTCATACCACACCTGTTTGTACCGTTACCAGTGAATCTGTGGGTGCTAGACAGCCGATGAGGGCCGTGAAAGCAACCTTGACATAAAATTCTTTGCAATTCCCGGTTTGGCTGAAATAGTTTGAAATGTTGGATAGATGTTCAACCAAATTAAACATAGCTGATTTAATGTCCTTACAGGGGGCGCCTTCAGTCCCTTCAGAGCAACCATGGCCTTAGCCAACCTGCTTCTGTTCATTGCAACCCAGCCTCTGGCCCGAGTGTTGCCCTTGACCAAGAGAACGGGGCCACCTTACAACAATCAGACAGTCTCAGCGAGATGAACGACCTCCGCCATCCTCAATGCTAGCAACAAGATGTATTAAGCATCTCTTTAAGAACTACCTAAGGAGCTTTCAAATTTTTTTCCACTTTCCAGGTCCCAACTCACATCTCAATATTTTATTTTAACTCCCTGAGTGATTGTTGGAAGAAAAATGGCCTCATATAGGTGTCTTCAAACAAGAATAAACTCACAACCATGTCCAGTGACCGATGTCCTCAAAAGATCTCAACCAAAAAAACAAACAGCTACTACAGAAAGTAACAAAACTATGGTAAAATATTTAAGTGGTAATCTACCTTTTAGGTTTGGAAAGCTTAAAATCATGACCATCCAAACACAAACTGAATCAATTCTGTATTACTAACATAGAGAATGCACTTTTTTCTCTAGGAACAGGGAAGAAAAAAATAAACTTCTTTCATGCAGTTGGAAATGTTGGCTATTTGTTTCAAACACAGATTTTTAAATATTATGTTATAGTCTGGGGTCAACATTAAGGGCACCAGAGTGTTCTTTATGTAAGTCCTTCAAGGAATGGCTGAAATTAAACACCCACGGCTACCTCTATAGACACCCTCATGACCAGCCTAGGCAAGCAAACAAAAACAATTTGTGACTGGTGAAAGCAGATGATTCATACAGTATGACTTTTCATATTGATTTTGAGAAAATCAGGAGAAGGTTGTGCACACAAACAGTGAGGTAGAGAACTTAAAATGTCCAGGCCAAGCGCCCGCCCTGCTGTTTAAGGAGAAGGGTGCAAATCATGAGCTGTCTGGCACTACAGAGGTGCATCGTCACCAGCTCCACTCTCCATTGCTCTGAGTGAGGAAGCCAACGGGAAGGGCAGGATCCACGAGTGTTCAAAAGGGAACAGGGAGGCCCACAAGCTTCTCCCTGTTTGGAGCTAGAAGATGTGACTACAATTGAATTCCATTAAATTCAACCTCTCTGCCAGGACTTATTTTAATTAGCCTCAAATCATAAAGGAGCACCCTAGAAGTGAGTTTTACTAAAAAAAAAAAACGTTGTGTGTCTGACCATGGGACAATGCCACTTCCGGGAAGAAGTTTAATCTTGCTGATGGCATTGAGAGACTTACTGTAGATGGATTCAGAGACTTGTCTACGTAGAGCCGTTTGATTAGTTTCAGCGAGTAGAAAGAACTAAGTTTGTTTACATCCGACGTTACTGTTTGAAATCCAAAGGGCACATCTTTGACATTTTCAAAATGAAGAACCTATGAAGAGAAAAAAAATCCATGACTCATGAAGCATCATGTCTTCCCACTGCAGTGGACACATAGTAACTGTCACTGTCCATGGGGGGTGGACTTCCCTGCTCCACGATCCCTTGAAGCAAAGCTTCTCAACCCCAGCACAGCTGACCTCTCAGGCAGGATATTCTCCGTTGCCAGGGCAAGCTGGGTGGCTATTGTAGGGTGCTTAACCACATCTCTGACCTACTAGGTACCCTTTGTGACAACCAAAAGTGTCTCTGGACACTGCCAAATGTCCCAGGGGAGTGGGGGGCAATATTGTCCCCACTGAGAGACATTACCATAAAATACTCTTCTCTGGATTTAACTACAGGGGAAATTTGCCCTTTCTTCAAAATGACACCTCCAATGCTCATACAGAAATCTTTCCAAACTTGGAAAAGAGTGAAATGGGGTTATAATGTCCATCTAACTCAGACACAAGAAGAGAGACAGTACTAGCAAGATAGACAATCACTGGGCAGTTACCAGACTCGAGGGTAGAGGTGTCTCTGGGCCCTTTAGTTCCTCTGACAAGTGCCAAACGGGCCGGTGGGTAACTTATGGAGGGAGCCCCCAACAGCGGTGGGCTGCCCCAGCGGGCGAGACTCACACAGCCTGGCCGTGAGCCCCGGCCTGAATTGGCTAGAAATACGGCCGAGCCCAACTCTGCGATGCTTCACTCTCCCCTCTGTGAACTGGGCTGGGGACACCTGCCGTCCTGAGTTGTGATGAGGTTTACAGGCATTACATGTAAAACACCAGAAATATCATATCAATTCAAAACGTTAGTAATTATTCTTAGAGTAATATTCTAAGCCATTTAAAACTAGGATGTCCTCTTCTGGAGGGCATAGCCCTTTCATTTGTCCTGAACTTTTCTTTGGTTCCAGTCAATAGGCCCGCGTCTCCGCAGCCCTGCGGCACCGCCGAGCGAGGTGTCCCCAGGAGGCGAGGCGCTCCCTGCTCCTCACTTGTGAAAACCGTGCCCAGAGGCCACACCTCAGCTGATGTCACTAAACGGACCCACTGCACCAGTGAGTCACACAGCCTCAATATTGCAGTGTCACACTGGCTAGGCCAAGGTAGTGCATAACTGTCATGCCTGGTGACAGGGGAAAGAACCCAAAAATTTAAAACCCAGGTAACTACTGCTGATGAGACAATGGCATGTACGTGACCCTTGTTATTACTGAGGAACAGATCCGCTCCCAGAAGCTGTCTTTTCTGCCCTCCTCTAGCGGCAGGTGAGAAATGAGGAATCGGAGACAAGAGGGTGGGGGGGCGGAATTGAGAGAGCAGGGCAGGTGAGAAGATGTAGCCCCTCTGCCCACAGCAGAAGGTTCTTTTTCAAGCACCATTAATTTCGAGAGTAAATTCTTCACTTATCATGACCCAAGCAACACTTCATGGGTCCTGCTTTCTGGGGCTTTATAGATACAAGGAGATATTCTCTTTTTAAATGCTCTGACCTCATGGAAAGAATTATTCTGTTGAGCTTAGGGTGATCAACCTAAGAATAATAATGGAATGGAGTTAGAAAGACACATACCATCTAAAAGTAAATGGGGGGGCAATTAAAAAGGAGTCGGGGGAGGTAAAAAAGTACAAAGCTCCAGCTATAAAATAAGGCATAGGAGGGGGGTGCAGTGTACAGCTGACTATAGTTAACAATACTGCATTGCACGTTTGGAAGGTAAGAGGATAGATCTTGAAATTTCTCATCACAAGAAAGAGAAATTCTATTCCTGTGTATGATAACAGGTTAACTAGACTTACTGTGGTGATCAGTCTGCAATACATACAAATATCAAATTATTATGTTGTACACCTTAAACTAGTATCATGTTGAATGCCCATTATACCCCAATAAAAAATAATAATAAAACATGATGCTGCAAACAAATTTTGTGCATAAGACAAGGATATAGATTTACACTTATTGGTCAGAGTATCTGCAGGGGAACATTCCGTAAGCACCACCTTGACTGGTTCTTGCAGTAGAACACGTACAAAGATGTCAGGTGACATGCCAAAGGCCACTCATTGGTAGAAGCCCTGTGACTACCTAGCAGATCCCAGGTGCCCCATCACACACGGCGCCTGGGTTGCAGGGCAGATAAAGGAGCTTTCTTTCACATTTAAAAATAGACTGAGAGAGTGTTAGAAGGGGCCCAACTCTCTACCCCTAGCACCTCTGACCAGAGCCCCACTCACCCTTCACTAGGCGCTACCACATTTTCTCACAACTATTCCCACGCAAAGCAGACGCAGGGTGTGGGGCTTACCTGTCCGATTTCACTGGCTGTGTCGCCTTTGGCTCCTACTTGAACAAGTGACAGGGAGGTGGAGAGACAGATTGGAGAGAACAGGACATTGTCTGCCGGCTCCTTTTCACACAGTTTTTTGAAGAGGTCAACTGCAAAAGCCGAGTTTGCCAGTTGCAGGGCGTCCATTGTGGGCCTGGAACAAAGGACAAGGGTCTTTAAAGTCTTCTCACCTGCATTCTGCAGCCCAATGAGAAATCCACCTCAGCAAAGCAATGGTCTTGGGTAGACAAGAGGAAGAAACCAGCCGCTAACTGCAATTTTGAAAGCCAGTGGGGAAGAAACTTCTGGGCAAATACCCTCAGGGGTGGACGGCGCAGCGTGTGAGGTCTCTGTGGGCACAGCCCTGCCCGGAACCTTCAAACTCAGGGGTGCGGAGGCCCCCATGGCCATTGTCGGGAACCAGACACCCACCGGTCTTCCTCTGCGAGGTCAGAACCGTTGTCAGCACTGATCTGAATCAGTTGGTTTCCTTTGTCCATATTGTGTCAATTAGGATGTAGGTGAAAGCATACAAAATGAATATTTCTGTACATGAAAAACAGTTGAATCACTGCAGCTTTGTGTGGCTCAGTTTTTAATAATTAATAAGTGCTATGGGGTGAATTTATGTCCCCCCCAAAATAAGCTGAAGCCCCACCCCTGGGTACCAATGAATGAGACCTTGTTTGAAAACAGTGTCTTCGCAGACTTAATCAAGCTGAGGACATCAGAGCTGCCCTCATCCAACAGGACCGGTGTCCTTCTCAGAAAGAACAGGAAGAAAGACAGAGGCAGGAATGCACAGACAGAAGGTGGCGTAAAGACACACAGGGAGAGGCCAGGTGACGACAGAGGCAGAGAGACTGGAGGGAGGCTTCCGCAAGCCAAGGAACCCCATGGACACTCAGGAGCCAAGAGAGGGACGAGGAAGCAAGGCTCCCGGGGCATGCAGACAGGTAACGCCCTGCTGCCATCGTGATTTCGGACTCAGGCCTGCAGGAATGTGGGACATCCATCCGTTGTTTAAGTTGCCCGGTGGGTGATGCTCGGCTTCTGCAGCCCTAGGAGACCACTACCGTGAGAAATGCCTCAGCAGGGCACCCAGCACAGAGCAACAGTCAATGCACAGAAGCTGTTACTGTTTCTCATGTTAATACACTTTGGAATACCCTGTGCGTAGCATTCAAAGGATCAGCCAAGCTCCTTCTTCTGCGAGTTTGCAATCTATTTGGGCAGATACGTAGAAAATAAGTAAAAGGCACGGCCACCCAATGCCAGACAAGGCGTATACCAAGCTCTGTGGAGTTCAAGGAAAGAAAGAGGGCAGCTCAGCAAAAAGTGGGGGAGCTGGGTGAGTGGAAAGCGCGCGAGTGGGCCTGGGTCTCATCTGAGAACTCTCTTATGCCGACGCTGGGGGCCTCTGTTGACCCTGGCAGTCCCCACAACCTTTTCAGCGGGTTCATGAGATCACCACTATTTCTGTAGTAATACTCAGACACATTTGCCTTTGCACTCACAATCTCTCACAAATATACAGTGGAGCTTTCCAGAGGTGGTACGGGGGCGGGTCTTCTGCTACACCGAATGTGAAAGAGGCTTGCAGAGATGAAAATCAGTGCTACCCTTCCCGCTTACCTTTCTTTACTTTAGAAAACAGTTATTCTTTCCATTGAAATATGTTATGCATGTTAATATGTAATGGTAACATTGTTTTTTTATTGAATTTATTGGAGTGACATTGGTTAACAACATTACATAGGTTTCGGGTGTGCCATTCTGTAACACATCATCTGTATGTTGTATTGTGTGTTCACCCCGAGTGTCTGTCCATCACCATTTATGCCCCCTGTGCCCTCTTCTACTTCCTCCCCACCCCCAGTAGCAGTACTAGTTTAATGAATTAGTAAATAAATATTTCAAACTGTCTCCAGTTCTAATTTGGTAAATATGGATAGATATTACCAACATTTTTAAGAAAAAGAAAGATAAGGGCTCAGGAATTTAAAGAATGTAAAGGGGTCCCAAGGTTTAAAGTTTGAGGACAGCTTTTCTAATGAAAGTTCTACCTATCTGGTCCTGTAGTTACTGATCAAGTCTGAAGGTGCTGGGGTAAATCGAGCGGTCAGGGCATAGCGTTCTTTTTATTTTTTTATGGCTACATCCATTTATTCTAAAATAAAGCAAAGAGAGTGAAATCAACCCCGTCCCCACCTCCTTACTCTGTCCTATGTTATCAATAAATAAGTTTATTCTTGCATTATAATAATAATAGGAGCAACAGGGATGGGGTGCAGGGGGACTGAGGGCACCCCACTTTTCCATAAGCCGAGCTGAGCTACACAGACCTGCCAGGCCCTGCCTGACCCAGGACAGTGTGTTGCAAAGGAACGTGGATTGATAGTAACACCCCTGAGCGGCCAGTGCTCGGATGAAGGCTTGAAGCCCAAAGCGGCCAGGCACTGCACAGCCTGCACACAGCCATGGAGAGCAGACATGGCACTGAAGGTCAGCAGGTGGGGCGCACCCCCCAGCATCCCCACTCAGGACAGAGCGCTCCCTTCAGCCAGACCCCAGGATGCGTTAGACCTCGAAGAAGTCTGCTGAAGGCGTTCGACTGCAAAAACCTCAAAGGGTATCAGTAAGGAAATGTTCATGTTACCACTGTGTTCCACCGAAGCATTGCTCGATCATTCACTATAGCATTTTGAGATCCATTTAGTCTAAGTAGCTCCATCCGAGTACAAGCTCATGGTAGCTTTTAGCACAGCTAATTTCACCATGTAGTTAACACTGTTGCAGCTCAAGGCTTTAGATTCAGGTCCCTGTTGGGGAATGCCAATCAGCACCCGACATCTGAGGCTTTCCCATGGGTGGCAGGACCTCCTTTCAAAGAGTCCCTTCCTTTGCATGAGAGTCAAACAGACCTGGTTTCCCATCCAGGCGATTGGTTCCAAGTCACCTGAAAGCACAGTGAAGCTGATCTGGACTAAGCTAGTTCAAGGGATGACCTGGGCCTCAGACCACGGTCACCTCACCATGTCACAAGGCAACCCAAGAATTCAAACAGATCTTAGCAATGTAAGCAACACACATAGGAAAATGCATCAGGTTTCTACACAGGCCATTATGCTATAAAAATTGTACAAGAGTAGAGATGAACAAGACCTACAGAGTAAATTTACATGTCTAATGACTTCTGTTCAGAGTACCAAAATTGCTACAGATTTTTTTCACTTTATTATCACTTTGTTACAGAGACAACTTCTTTGGTCTTCATGAAAACCTTCCAATGATTGTAACAAACAAAGAAGATTTCATTTACCACTCCAGTGTAGAAAACAGTGTTTTTTGTCACTTAAATGTTTAAAAAGCACTTTTTTTTAACCAGAGATGAAAATTTAAGTAGTAATACAAATGCAACAAATGGACAACAAAGAGCTGTAAGAATTTATCACTAAGTTGCCTGTTTTCTTTTGCAATATGTCTTAAAATCATAAACCTTAAAGTGGGACAAGATCTTGGTATGGATCTTGTCTGGCTCCATGTCTTCATTTTACAGATGAGCAAAGTAAGGCAGATAGAGGTGAAGCGATCCTCCAGGCCGCCCACACAGGGAGTGAAAGTGGTCAAACCGGCCCGGCTTCACTCCTCCCAGCGCCCAGCTAGGCGCATCCAACCAACGATGCCTCACCCCCAGCCCTGGTCACTGTGTCTTCGCTGGCATCGGCTCTCTCGCAAGCCTTTGGCATCCAAAACTCCCTTGTGTACTGAATTCCCCTTTAGGGATACCAAGATGCTTCACATTTTTTTTAAATCAACACACACTTTTTGTGTTCCTCCTTGAAGAATGGCTCATTCTCTTCCTGCTCTTTATGTTGCAAGTTGTTAATGTTACATGGCTTCCATGTAGTATTAGCTGAGTACTGAATGCCTGTCAGGCACCAAGTTAGGCGTGAAAACATCAAAGGTGAACCCACCACAAGTCTTGTCTCCAAGGAGCTTCAGCCTAGTGGCATGATGTGTGTAATGCGTCGTGGGCATTTTTCATGGGGCGGGGCGGGGGGGGGGCCCACAAGCTGCCATGGGAACCCTTTGTAGAGAGAGCTCATTTATAATGGAAACCTCAGCGAGGTCTCCTCAGAGACAGCGACAGCTAAGTAAGTCACACTAAAAGGTGAGTCCTAAAGACAAGTAGGAGGTAGCTATGCAAAAAAATGCAGGCCAAAAAGACCTGACACAACTCAGAGACCACAAGCAAGGCCAAATGAACGGAGGCGCGCAAGCTAGAATGCGAAGGGGAGCAGGCGTGCCCGCTCCTCTAGGCTGACTTACAGCTGGTCACCGGCCCCCTGCCTAAAGATGTCTGAAGTTTCTAATGCATCTAAGCCAATGCTCCTCAAACTTGTCTCTAGACCATTCGAGTGAGAAAAATGCCCATACGCCCCGCTCTGCCTGGAGCCGTCCTGGTTAATGTGTGTTGCCCTGACATGCCCCTTTCATTCTCAGTTGCGTTGTGTTTCAAACAATATATGTTCAGCCTACCTGCGGGCCACCCGCCCCACTCATCTATACACAGGTGAACACCACGCGCAATGGCTGGGTGCACGGGTTTCTCATTCCTTTTCATTCCTTCCCACTGTGTCAGGTTACTGTGGATCTCATTCATCCCGACCTGCCTTGTGTTACAGATGAAGAAAAATGTGAAGAAAAAAAACATCTCTCACGTATTTGGGGTAGTCAGTCCCTAGGCAATGGCCTTGAGAAAACTTGCCTATTAGAATAACTATCATGGAATGTCTAAAAACATCGCCGCTGCTGTCTGTATTCCAACTTCAAGAGGAAAAGCTCCAGAGCCAGGCTCAGAAAAGAGGAGACCTTGCAGCGTCTGCAGTGTGAAAGCATATCAGAAGCTTAAACGAAGTGACGAAAGATACACACATATATGAGAAGATCTCTGTTAGCAAGAAAGGACCGTGCTGCTATTAGCAATAAGGTCAAGTTCCTAGTTTCCAATGACAAGAGAGCCCCTCCTCCGCTCCAACATGCTGAGACAGCCTATCTGCTCCTGTTTGTTTAGAAGCCCCCACCTGGACCACTTAACCATCCCACTGGTGGCTAAGAGTGAAGTATAGCCAGGCCAGCTAGGC